ATGACTCTCCCTCTTCCACAGCCACAGACTGCCTATAGATTCTGAACTAGGGCCGCAGCTCCGCCCCCCCCCACTCCGTTTGTGCTGGAGTTTTGATTGGCTTTGATCCTTTGCAGACCTTATGCAGGTATGGCAGCTTGAACGCGGAATGTCTTCTGCATCATCTTAGGCATTTGAGCACTTGGTGATGCTATTTGGGGAGGTTTAACTGATGCAGCCTTGCTGGAGAAATTAGATTACTGGGGGGCAGGCTTGGAGACTAAAAAAAAAAAAAAGACTCTACAACCACCATTTGCTCTCTCCGCTTCTTGATTACAGCCAAGGCTGTGAGCTCTTCACTTCCTGCACCTGCCCTGTGCACCACGCTGTCCTTGAGAGCTGTGACTCAAACATGAAATAAAACAACCTCTTTCTTCTCTAAGTTGCCTTGGCCATGATGTTTTATCATCGCAACAGAAAACTAAGACACACACCCTGGTGAGTCCATGGGTGGGACAACCCTGTCCTGCCCAGCAGACAGGGCTCCACAGCCCTGCTCCTTAGCCTCTGGCCCTACCCTCCAGGAGCCTGGGGCTGGTGAGAGGCAGCTGACTCCTTTACAGATGATTAAAAGAAGAAATTCAAACTGCAAATCTGGGGTACTATGGTGGGAACCTAGCCGTTACCTGGACCAAGAAGAGCTTTTCAGCAAAGGAGCTAGCATGGGAATGGCCTTCTGTGCAGAGACCAGCCCCTGTGGGCCACAGCCAGTGCGTCTGGGCAGAGGAGGGCATGGTAGGAACTAGGCAGGGCCCCCAGCCTGGCCTAGACATGCATCACTCCCTGTATGTGATGGGAAGCACAGAGGGTTCTCAGACGTGCTGGGTGTAACTGAAATTTCACTGTTTCAAACAGGTTCCTTTGGCTGCCCAGGGCCAGGAAAGGTGCTGCAGTGGAGGTGGCTGCTGAAATAAATAGCCCAGGTAGGACCAAGTGCTGCCTGCCAGAGATGGGACACAGTGGATACTGGCTTTGGTTCTGTCTTGGAGACAAAGCCCACAGGAAGTGGAGATAGTGGGAAACACAAGGAGAGGCACCAGGTAGGTGACTGAGCCTGCTTGTGGCTCTCACCTTACCCTCTAGCATTATCCTGCCCGTGACAGCCCAAGGGCATCCTCCAAGGGACACTTCAGACACCTGCTGACTTCCAGGGTACTCACCAGCCAGCACCTGCTCCCATAGAGCCGCCCTGTTCTGCTCTGATTCAGGGATGCCATTGTATCTGCCACACACCTGGGTACCAAAACTCTCCACTGACCTCTGTGCCTGGTGAGGGATCCTGCAGTGGGATTGGTTGAGCCCTCATAGGGCACAGGCAAACTGAAAGAGTAAGGGAATGAACCATCCCTCTGGACCACACAACTGGCCCCTTCCTCAGGTTGCAGGTCCGTGTCCAACTCATCTTTTGTCTTAGCGACAATACTGAAAAGAGCTTTTCTTATTAGCAGGCGACTGTGCAGAAGTTGAGATGGTGGGGACACCATGGAGCTCACTGGAGAAACCATGCACCCTCTTTCCCTCATATTTTGTGATAATTCTTGACTAGAAGGATTCTCCTGATATTGCCCCTGATCCCCTGAGAGTTAGGCCCACGCTGAGCCCAGGTGATGGGTCCAGGCCTGTGCTAACCCCAGGTACAGCTTCCGTTTTCCTGAGGCATGAGCCCCATCTGGTGGTCCTTCCCATCCAGTCACACTCATCAAGCCCAGGCCCCAGGGGTCACTAGGAGTGACCAGACTGTGCCATCTGTCTCCAGCAAAGGGCAAGGGTGAGCCTCAGACAGGAAAGGTCCCTACTCTTGATGAAACTGGATAAGTAGGGGCTGAGAGAATCTACTGTGGGGGACTGCTAGGTGGGAAAGTGCCAGAATTCCTTCTGAAAGAAACGCAGAAGGGAGGGGGTAAAGGAGAGAGCAGAGGATGAAGGGATGGAGGAAGGAAGGGAGGATAGAGTCACAGAAGTAGAGGGAGGTGAGAGCAATGATTAGCATTTGTTCAGGGTGGGACGTGTGCTTTCACGTACGCATGCGTGAGTACATGTGTGCATGTGTGCATGTGTATGTCCATTTCTGCATCTCTCCCCTGGGCTGGGCTCTTTGCAGGACCTCAGTGCCTGGGGCACAGACTCACTCTCTAGCCCTCTTATGGGAGGTGTGACTGTCCAGACTCACAGAGCTGACCCTACTTGGTGTCTATGCACCACACAGAGACGGACCTGAACCCCTCTGACAAGCCCAGCTAAGGCTCTTCCCTGCACAGCGCCCCTCTGTCCAACCCTGGAGGCGTGGCCTTCTCCTCCTGGGATCTCTGAGCATCCAAATGCACAGGGACTGGGAACTGGATGCTTAGTGACTATTTAACTAACTTCTGGTTTATTCTTGTACACCTATATTTTTTTCCAGAATCAGGGTTTCTTTGTGTAACAGTGTTAGCTGTCTTAAAACTAGCTCTGTAGACCAGGCTGACCTCAAACCCACAGAAATCCACCTGCCTCTGCCTCCAGAGTGCTGGGGTTAAAGGTGTGCGCCGCCACCACCCAGCTGTTTTCATTTTTTAAAAGCATGTAGTTGTCAGAGGACAACTTTCATCCATTCTCTTCTCCCACCGTTTAGTTCCCAGGGGTAATACTCGGATCTTCAGGCTCAGTGGTAAGTGCCTCTGCACAATTAGGTGATCTGGCTGGCTCTAAACTTAAATTTGAAAACCGATACTTTCTAGGTTCAGTGATTCAAAATCTTCATAGCACTTGGCACAGCATTTTCTTCTTCCAGAGAGTCCAGCATACAACAGAAAGTCACGGTGGATTTCAAACAGGAACAAGACCCCTAAGCACCACCACCTCCCAGCCTGGACAAATCCCCCAAAGCACCTTGCTCTCCCCAAACACAATCAAAGCCATCCCTGCTTAAAGAAAACGTCATTGGGAGCTGGAGAAATGGTTCAGAGGTTAAGGATGCTGACTGCTCTTCCAGAGGTCCTGAGTTTAATTCCCAGCAACCACATGGTGGCTCACAACCATCTACAATGAGATCTGGTGCCCTCTTCGGGCATGCAATCATACCTGGAGGCAGAACACTGTATTGTATACATAATAAATCAAATCTAAAAAAAAAGTCACTGTTTTTAGGAAAGACATAAACTTTGAGATGGGGATGTAGCTCAATAGATAGAGAGAGTACCTACTTGGCATTCACGAAGCCCTAAGTCACATTCCCAATACTGCGTACACTCAGTGTGGTGATGGCCAGCTGTGATCTCTGTAGTGGAAATATGGGGTTGGGGTGGGCAGGAGGATCAGGTATTCAAGGTCAACAAAGACTATATAGAGAGTTTGAGAACAGCCTGAGCTACATGGACATTGTCTCAAAAAGAATGTGTGCGTGTGTGTGTGTGTGTGTGTGTGTGTGTGTGTGTGCGTGTGTGTGTATTCTTTCTTTAAGAAAACATAGGCTAGCCAGGCAGTGGCTTTAATCCCAGAACTCAGGAGGCAGAGGCAGGCGGGTCTCTGAGTTTGAAGCTAGCCTGGTCGACAGAGTGAGTTCTAGGACAGCCAGGACTACACAGAGAAACCTGTCTTGAGAGAAAGGAAGAAAGAAAGAAAGAAAGAAAGAAAGAAAGAAAGAAAGAAAGAAAGAAAGAAAGAAAGAAAGGAAGGAAGGAAGGAAGGAAGGAAGGAAGGAAGGAAGGAGAAGGGGAAGGGAGGGGAGGGGAGGGGAGGGGAGGGGAGGGGAAAGGAGAGGAGAGGAGAGGAGAGGAGAGGAGAGGAGAGGAGAGGAGAG